CCAGTTTATTCTCCATTCTAACCCTAAAATTATCTTTTTAACAGCAGGCTATATACCAGCTAAGAACCTTCGCCCGTTCCCTACATCCTAGAGAATGACGTCCAAATGTCTCAGCACGGCACTGAACCTGGCCCCAAGTTACCTTTCAAATCCATGTGAACTACCAATCAGCCCAAACCGAAAATGCACAGCTTTACATTTTCCCATCTCCACGCCTTTGTACACAACTGGTGTTTTTGTTGTTNATGCTCAACATCACTAATCACTGGGGAAATGCAAATCAAAACCATAATGAGATGTCACCTCACACCTGTCAGAGTGGCTATCATCAATAAATCAACAAATAATAAGTGTTGGCAAAGATGTGGGGAAAAAGGAACCCCCATACACTGTTGGTGGGATTGTAAATTAATGCAGCCATTATGGGAAACAGTATATAGAGATTCCTCAAAAAATTAAAAATAGAGTTTCCATACAACCCAGCAATTCCACTTTTGGGTATTTATCCACAGAAAACAAAAACACAAATTTGAAATGATACATGCATCCCTATGTTCCTTGCAGCGTTAGTTACAACAGCCAAGATATGAAAGGTGTATGTTGATAGGTGAATGGATTAAAAAAAAAAGTCACACACACACACACACACACACACACACACACACACACGAATATTACTCACCAATTAAAAAAAATGAAATCTTGCCATTTACGACAACATGATAGACCTAGAGGGTGTTATACTAAGTGAAATAAGTCAGACAAAGAAAGACAAATACCATTATGATTTCACTTATATGTAGAATCTAAAAAAACCAAAAGAAAGGAATAAACAAAATAGAAACAGACCCATAGAAATAGAGAACAAGCTGATAGTTGCCCAAAGGGAAGAAGATGAGAGGATAGAGTGGGGAAAAAACCCTAACACCTCAGCCACTAAAGCTTCCATCCTCTGCCAATGGGTTGGAGAACACAATCAAAATTTAGGCCACTCTCGACTATGCCCTGGGTTTTACCTTCCACTGGGACCTTGCCCTGCTCCTACGCACCTACATGCAGCCTCCAGGTTGGTCCTCATGGTCTGCCCCAATCTGGCAGAACCCACATACCTGGCCAGGCAGGGAAGAGAGAATGGGAGCAGCCCCAGGCAAGAATACCACAGAGTCCCACTGTTCTTTCCCAAAGTTCCAGTTTTTCAAGCATAAACACTTTTCAGATTGTTGTATCCCTCTGATCAATTTCCAGAACACTAAGATGGCTGTTTCTGCCAATTCTGTCTAACTTTATAATTTCCTTTTTTGAAGAGAGAATTTGTCAACTTCCTCATATGACTATACCATTCAAGCTTGAGAATATTCCCATAGCAAACATTTTTTTTCTACAGAATTTATCCAACTGCAACTGAAATATTTAAATGATTTCTCTCTATTAATGGTTCTATACACATAGGAAATCCCACAATTCAAATTTAACCACAATTTCTATTTCTTCTCTTTTCCCCTTTATTTCTACTTTTACTTTCATTCATGATTCATTCATTCAATCACTTATATGAAAAATATCAATTGTTTCCCTATTATGTGCCAGTCCACTACTTTTTGAGACTTTTTCACCTGTATCATCAGCAGTTGCTTCACTCTTAAATTAGCAGCCCAATAATTCACCTATATGCTTCATCAAATTACAAGTTACTGTATGTCATGAACTTTCAACATTGTCCTATCAATAATAATACGAAACATTTATGTGACACTTATTGTGTGTTATTCTAAGTGCTTAACATAGGTTAATTCATTTAACTTACAACAACTCTATAACTAGCTACAACTATTATTTCTATTTTAAGATGAAAAAACTGAGTCTCGAAGAAATTAAACAACTTATTTAAGATCATACAAGCAGGCAGTAGGAAGGCAGGATTTGAATTCAGGCACTAAGGCGCGAGGATCCATGCTCTTAAACTGCCATGTTTCACTACTTCATGAGTGTGTGATCTGCAAATGCCAAAATCCATTGCTTCACTTTGATATTGCCAAATCCACACGGGGAGTGAAGCACAGGCTTCAAAAGACTGCACCCATAGTCTTTTTACTTGAAATTATTGAATCTAGCATTCAAAATGACTACTGTTTATTAAAGCTAATTGCTCAAAGAATTTTTCTATTAGAAGTTGCTAAAATGTGTTAGGAGAAAAGCTATTATAAAAAAAATCATAGGGATATCCTAAATGTATCAAATCCATTTTCAAAATCAGACAATTCATGTCTACTGACTGAAATCTGGCAGGCATCACACATTTTAGTATAAATCTAAAATATCAAATATTGGTAAGAATTAACTATAACTATAGCATATTTGTTTCATATTTCAGGAAACATGTAAGTTCTTTCTTCTTTGTTACAACTGGCTTTCCTACCTCCAGTCTTTCTAAAACATGACCTCATTATGAAATTCCAATAATTGTTCATATTTTGACTTTTACTTAGTTCATGGACTCCTCTATAAATTTGCAAGGATAAATCTATAGGCAAAAGTATAATTGTTTTACTCATGACTATCTTGTGTAATCTGCCATTTTAAATACCATACCGGGCCTCAAGAGAGATCATGCAAAGATTCTACTGCTTAAGAGAATGTGTCAACCAGTGAAAAATCCAATATAGTCACTGCCAACCTCCTTCCTCCTGAAGACACTGAGCAATAAAGAAACAGATATTTGTTCTGAAGGTTTTTTTTCTCATATATCTTTCAACTGATCAAGCAACTATGTCATAATTAATTAAATGTATAGTGTGAAGTACAAACATACATGCCCTGAGGGTTTGTAAAATATAAGTACCTTTTTTTTAAATTGCATTTAAAATGTAACTATGTTTACTTTAGCACCATTCATTTGACTGAACTGAGATGACTGAACCATGGGTACAGGGGATTACGAAATCTAAGAAGAAAGCAAGGAGCTGACAGAGCAAAGAGGGGGGAAATCTCCCCAAAGCAGAATAATTATGTCCATATAAATCACTTTGTGATTTTTTTAAATGACCTCTATGACCTGTGAGGTAGTGGAAAAGGAAAAGTCAAAATGACAAATTGCTAATCACGCCAAGAGACCCCTTTTCCCTTTCCTGATAATGTTTCCTCAACATGAGTGGTAGTTTCCTTAGGCAGGCCAATGACAGAATATTGATTTACTACATAAGCTGTACGTATATGTATTTGGATTTAACGTACCTTAAGCCTATGTAAAGGTTACAACATAATTTCTGACAAAGAGAGCAACAGCAGACCTTTATAATTGCAGGGAATTCCATTCTCAGTATTACATGATGGTGACAACTTCTTTAAGGAAGAGAAACAAAGCATGGCCACTGCTAACCTTCCTTAAATTATTTACCAAAAAAAACCTTTGAATTTACCTTTTCGTACCACAACAAATAAGATGAAATCAAATGAGTAGGCTGTCCTTTTCCCGTCAGAATGAAATGTTTTATATATCTTTGCATTATCTCTTAATCCTTCTGCCAAATGCTCTGGGTAGTCTCATCTCAGTATTTCCAACCTGACTATGTTTCTTTATATTTTACATACTCTGGAAAAATTCACCTTCATGAAGAACAATTCTGATCCTTTCACTCTTCTGCACACAAATTCCAAATCTCAATTTTTTTTATTCAATTCAATATTATCACTCTACCCTGGTGTTCATGATCATAGAACCCCATGAGAGAATCCCAACTTATCTTTCCACACTTATCTATTACTATCACTCATCCCTATATTCATCCCTCCACGCTAGATAAACCAAACTTTGATCTCCTGAATTGAGTCTTTTGGACTCATTCCTTTATGAAGCTGTTCATTCCACCTAGCTATGCCCCCCACATCCAACCCTGTCATGCCAAAACTCTGTCTAAGTCGCCACAAAAATAACACCCACTACACAAAAGCTTTCCTCATTCTACCACCACTGCACCAACAATAACCCTTCCTTATCTTCACTTGCCAAAGTATTTGTTAAACCTCTTTGACAGCCTTTATTCACCACATCCATCTGCGATATAATTACTTATGAGCCTTATCCTTATAGCTTACAACACAATGCCTTCCATGTAATTGCTGAATGGAGGAACCAAAATCACTCTTTAAGAGAATACTAGGTAATTCTCTTAATATATTCCCCCCCTTTTAAGTTTGTTTTCCAGGATTAGAAAAGTAATTCATTTTTCATTAAACAAAAATTTCAGTTCTTGATCTTTTTCAAATAACCTTTCCCTTTACATTTTTCACAAAAGTGTAAGGATCCCAGGCCTGACAATTACTGATCTGCTGTGAGCCCATCATACCACAGTGTTGACAACCCTCAGGGTACCCACCAAACCCACTATTCAAAACTCAGGAGGCATTTTAAATGTGGGGAATCATTTTAAGAAGCTCACCAGAGTTCCAAGCCTATCTTTGGGATACTGAACTTTAATAAGCAATCAATAGTTTCTTCAAAGCCACCCGATATGCACTGACACCGATGCCCAAGTTCCATCACTGCATGAAGCTAGGAGTGATCTACCTGGGCAGGATTGTCTAACACCGCTTCTCTCCTAAGCAACTTGAGTGGCCCACTCCTACATTTATAAATAGGAATTAAAGACTGAAAATAGCCATAGATATATGGTTACAAAATGTAACAAAAACAGAGCCGCACCAGACTAGCTACAAACAATACTCAAATCTCACGCCTACACAAATATATGAAACTGACTAAATATTAGCCTGGATTTTCAAAAAACAAAAAAAATTTTAGTACCAATAAGCTTTAACTGTTCTCTCTGACCTCAACAATACTTACATAATAGCAGGAGCCAAACAATATACAGTATTAGTTCTGAATCTGTAATTAGTAATGGTCTTTCTCGCCCGAAACTAATTTCTTTAAGGTTGCTGGAGCTGTGGGCTGTGCTGATTCGCATGGTTGATGGACTTGGCCAATAGGCCAATTGAGTTACCTGCTGAATGAGTGAGCGAGCCTCTTCAGAGACACATTCTGGCATGTTCAGGGTAGTGTGAGTATTTATTCCTGCTGGATGGCACTCAACCAGAGTCTGAAACAATCAATCAGGTACACTTCTTATCCCAAATAACATCACATTCGGTTCTATCACAGGATTTACAGACAGCGAGTGCAGAGAGCTCCAGAACCATCCTAATCCGAAGCATACTGATCCACACAGCGCCGCCTAAGCAGGGCTCCGGGCAGGGGCTCTGAGCCTGCACAGCTTCTAACCGCAATAAGGCAATCGGCGGAATCACATCCAAAGCTTATGCTACTAGCCCTTTTCCCTTAGTTATAAAGAGAATGGCTCGTAATAGGAAAGCTAACAATATACATAAAAACAAAGAAGGGACGTGATATCTCTAAAATTATTTAACGTATTAAAAACCTTCAAAGTTTAGAATTTCTTAATAATAATACTTTATGTACACACAGCACTTTATGGTTTAATAGCATGTGTAGGCGATTTCTAAATCCACAACCATCTTGGGAGTTCAGTATTATCTACATATTTCAGGTGGGTGACTACTTACAAAAGCATGACTGTTCATTTCCTCTATTTTCTTCCCAGGAGGCAATCTGCGTGATACTCTATCAAAGTCTATTAACCTCAAACATCTTACTTAAAAGTTATTGATCAAAGAGTATAAATTCTGTCCTTTCTCTAGAACAGATTGGAAACATTTACAGTATTGAGAAACAAGATGTTGCCTTTAATATCCACATTAATTTTCTGAAATGAGAATTCCCTCCTGATTTCAGACAAGATGTTTAAAACATCCAGAGAATTCTAACACCTCCTGACATGAACCTTACAGATTTAATTCCGTTGAAAGTGAATCATAGAAACTGAAGAGAAAAAATGTTTCGTCTTATATCTGACTGTGTGCTAACACTGTGACATAACAGAACTTAAACTACCAATTTATTGAGTGTAATTCAATTCTGTACTTTTTTAAAATCTGGAATCTTGATAAACTTACTTTTTTTTTCTGTGTATCAAAGGTTTTCTTACCTAGTCCCTGATCGAAAACCTGAAGGCGAAGGCTAAACGTTCTCAACTTGAAATCAAGGCAGCAGCTGGGTAAACTTATTCAGCACCCAGGTCACAGCTTACCTTGCCAGTGAGAAGTTCAAAGAGGACAGCACCCAAGCTCCACCAATCACAGGCTTCGGTTTCTTCAGTGATTGCTCCAACCTCTAAACACAGCAAAAAAGGTGGATATTAAAATTCCAAAGGTCAATTAAACTTTCAAAATTAACATGTATTAGCAAGGTGACCTTTTTAATGCTGAGAGAGCACATACTAAATACTACTGGGCTTTCAAAATTCCTGAAAGTTACTTATCCCTTTGGTCACCTACTGTGGTTGCATTTTTTTTTTTGACGCAGTCATATATTAAACTGAGACATTTGTTCTTTAGTTGATAGAGGGACACCTTCAAGATGCTATACTTAAAAGTTACACGAATCTATGAGTTCAGCATTTCGCTTAATTTTTCAAATTTGAGAAAGTATAGCCAACTCTACCTCAGAGGTCATGTTTTGTTTTCGAAATAAAGACTCTAGGTTCAGAAGGAACTGCAAAAATCATTTAAACCTGTATTAATTATCCTTTTACAGATTAGCAACCAGAGAGGTGAAATGCCTTTTCCAATGTCATATGGTAAATCAGTGGCAGAACTAATACCTAGTTCATGGTATCATTCCTCTCCTATATAATCAATTGTTTTCAACTAAAGGAGGAACATGTAAAATGCAAATTTACCCATTTTGCTATTCAGAAGTACAGATAGATATGTTGTTTTAAGCCACAGCTGAAATTACTGGCTAAGATAAGGACTTTTAGAATATCAGCAACTTACAATTTATCCCTACCTCTCACCTGCACAGGTTCCTGAAATGTAAAATGAGTTTTCAGGTGTCATCTTTCAGGTTTCTCCACAAATTAGCAAAAACTCCTCATTTTGCCATTTCTGAGGCTTTTAGCCCTAAAGTCGTGTTTGATGCATTCTTGTCAATGTCTTCCTAAGACATTCAGTTAAGCTCTAAGCCTTCTCAATACTTGCCCTTTCTTTTGACTGACCAAACATACATATTAGTTGTGGCAGTAACTGTAACAAGAACTCGTAACAGTCACATTCCAAAGTTTTTAAGTAGTTAGGTTGGAACTTGAAAAGTAATAACGGGACATGGTGCTCTGGTGCCCAGCATTTTAACCAGTATTTAGAAAATGTATGTGTGGAAGACCCACAAAACTCATAAAATAGCTTACGTCTGAAACCAAAGATCATGTGGACCAGAGAAAAGAAAAAAGAGCCATTCCTATGCAAAATACTGAATTACTCCATTTCAGCAGGCTTCTCTGAGTCCCTCTGCACCTACCCTCTTCTGGGTTTTATGTGCCCATATGTAGAACTCCGCCCCGTCTCTCCCCCTCCCCAGACCTTCCTCTCCCTACAGGGCTTCAGGCCCAATCACAACCTCCATTCTCTAACCAGCTGCTCTCAGCTGGGTGGCAAAAAGAACACACAGATACTTAACTAACTCAAACTTCTGTGTGAGTGACCAAAAGTTTCCTCATCCTCCTAGAGTTGTTTGCATTTATAAAACAAGAGCTTGTTTGAAAACCTGAGAACTACCTAACTAGAGATTTCATGATATATATTGTGGCATACCCATACGATGGAATACTACTACATAAGCATTTAAAATGATGCATTCATGCAAGGTTTAAGTATGTAAGTCAATGTCTGGATACATGAAATTAAAAAAAAACAAGCTATAAAACAATAGAATTCTAATTTTAAAAGTATGTGTTTTGAAAAAAAAATACTGGTGAGAAAATACGACAGAATGTGTTAGTGATTTGCCTCTGGGGTGGTGAGATTTTTATTTTCATTCTTACACTTATTAACCTCCAGAAATATCTTGTGTTCCCCCACAACTTTAATGTTATTATACATTAGGGAGAGCAATGGACTGGGAAGCAGGAGTGGGGGGTAAGAGTCTTGAGGAATTCACTTGATCTCATCCATAATATGAGGGTTAGATGTGAGGGCCAGTAGGTTAAACTTAGCTCTAAATTCTTTGACCCTCAAGGGTTTCCTAAAATAGTGATTCTCTTGAAGGACAATTCCTTGGGGACTCTCATTCAAAATGCTTATGCTACCCCTCCCAGATTCAAATACACTGTGCCCACCCCCATTCCCAACCTCCGCACAGAGAGCCACTATCACCTCCAGAGGCGTGCTCTGAAAACTTCAGAAAGGAAATGTATGTTCTTAGAAACTTCAGAAAGGAAAAGCAATTGACCATGGTCCTGTCATCAAATAGAAACTTGTACATTTCCTTCCAGCCTAAAGCAGGCAATACATCATTGTCCTGTGTCAAAGTTCTGCAGTGGCTTCTCATTGACCATGAGATGACATTCTAATGTCTTGCTTAATCAGACATGTATATCCTCAGGTCTCCAAAACAAGGTCTCAACCTATCAGCTCATTCAACCAACACACATGAGCAGCACAAACCGGGCACTAGGCACTAGGCACTATTCGTCCAGAGAGCTCTGTGCATTGGCCATGGGGCTAAATGATGTGAGGCCAAAATCAGTTTTTCCATTAGCATAGTTAATGGCTTTGCGTTCTAACACGTTTTTGCTCAAGAATTTAAATTATTTTATTTTCTTTAATTATACAGCAAGCAGTGTATGTTTCTTAGTTTTATATTTATAACAAAGGGGATGTTGGTTCACAGGACAAGACCCAAAATTATTGATCAGCCATCTGTTTTGAATATGCTGCCAACAAGTCTCACTTTCTGTATATGATTTGTTGCTTTGCTCATAGTAGATACACACTGTAATAACGATAATTGCAACAATAAAATATCAGCTAACATTTATTGACTGTTTACTGTATGTAAGGAACTGTGTCTAACATTTTACACGAATTATTTAAAATTTCCAAGCAACCTTATGGAGAACTTATTTGGGTAGGGTGACTCTGGAGAATAAAATACTGTATCTGTGTGTCCTGGGAAAAGAGGGACATATGACCCAGTCAGCTTAGGAAAAGTTGTAAAAACTAAAGAGATGGTTTTATAGGGTCTAACAACACACCCTGAGGAGCTCTAGACTAGAGACACACACAAGTCTCTGCTCAGAAAGGTTTCCTGTTAGAATTGAGCAGAGGGTCACTGAGATAAGTCCACAGAATGTAATCAATCAATGGCTAACAGAGTTTATGAAGGCGCCTTTTAAATTCAGTAAAAGGTCCAAAGTGCCATAAGCAGTGTAGCCTAGACCATCCAAAGCGACATGTTACGCCGGTTTCCCATATCACTGCTGGCAATGTGCATTGGGGTGAAATGTGTCACTGTGTGTGTTTGGGGGGGCGGGATCCTTGAAACTACCAGATACGCACAGTATGTCTTCCTGAGCATAAAGATTTTTATATGTGTGGGAGGGAGTGGAATATTGTTTTACTATTAAAAGGAACACAGATCTATTATGGAACAGAATGTAAAATTTGCATGGATTTGTAAGATAAAAAGACTTCAAAGGAACTTCGGGATCATATTTCACTAGTCCTCTGGGGTACCCATTTCATATCAGCTTCACAGTCAGAAGTACTTGGGTAAAGTTTGGCAGGCACTTCATGAGACAGACATGGTGTATTCCTTTATTGGTTTCTGTGAACTTGCTCAACTAAGGAATCTAAGAACTCGGTTCATTGGTTTTACGCTGCTTTGAAATCCCTCGTAATTTTCTGCCAGAGTCCTTAACAGGTGGATAATGACCAACATACTGCTTCAAATGTGGACTGTCAGTGTCTGGAGAGCCCCAATCTGAACTGTATTAATGTACTGTAATATAATATCAATATATTATAATATAGTAATATAACATTATAAATTAGCCCCAATTCTAATTCTTAGATTAAAATTGTAAAGATAGACCCTGAAATTGCATTGCCAAAAAGAAGCCTAAAGTTCTGTGGCTATCAAAACCACTGCTCTATACAAAAAAATTAAGTATAAACCAAGAGTACTGATTTATATATAAAGCATCGTGATAGCTACTACAAACACTAGGTGAATAGTCAGGTATATGTGTCTAACTTCAAAAGTAGAGAATATAAAGAAATACCAAATAAATTTGGGAGGTTATCTTAAAAGTATAATATGGTAAAGCTGAGAAATCCCTTTAAGCTCCCTTGCATTTTTTAAGTCTCTGGGGGAAAAAAAGCATAAACACATTTTCTACCACTGTTTTCACAATTTTTAAAAGTATTTTTCCTATAAAACCCAACGTGTTAAGTTTCTGTGCATGCCCCTCCCCCACCAGTACATTCTATGTTTGCGATTTCTCAGATGGTAAGATAGTACGTATCCTTATTCTCCACAAGTGCTGCGATACTACAGGCACTAAGCAAAGTGATCAGGGGGAAAATACACTTATCTCTACAACAACAAATTCTCAGATTAACTCACAAAGAGCTGGGAATAATAAAGAATCCTGGATTTTTGTCTCTGAGTCAAAGAACTGTATTGACAGGGATCTAGTTATGCTACCGTTTGAGCCTGGCTGGGTACGTCATGGAACATGAGGGCACCCAGACCTCTAACACCCTTTCTACCTGTAATTTTATGATCCTGAAAGTGTTCACAAAAGCATTCATGAGCCTTGCTCATAACTTCTTCTCTCTCCATTAACCTAAGATGCCCAAAGAGTGGGATTATGATAAAATGAGCTAGCATTCCTCAATCTTCCTTTTTCTCCTCTCCAGACACAGCCACTCTCCCCTTTTTCTAAAATTTTGACCTGGTGGCAAATGAAATGAATCAGTGTCACAAAATTAACCGTTATCATCTTGTAATGGAGACACAGAATCAGCTCCAGATTAGATTTCAAACCATACAAAATTTTTTAAGGACATCAAATATGTGAGAACAGTTTAGTATACTTCTAGAACTCTCTCTTTAGTACTGTCAATTTTCATACTCTAGCACAGTATAGAATCTTATTGATGCACACTAATGATTCAAACGATCACATTCCACAAGTGAATAAACAAGTTTACGTGAAACAATGAAGCTATCACAACATAAATGTGCTTTGCCTACTGTGGTTTTCTCAGGTTTCACACCTCCTAGAACACCCTAAAACAAGCCAGGATATTTTTCAGAAAAATAATGCT